AACAAAGAATATTTTTATGTTATTATTAACAGGAAAGATCAAAGGAGTATTTGATTATTAGATTTTTTCTTAATCATTTTTAAAACATTCAAAATTTTACCGAAAAGATTTTTCTTGCGTGACCATAAATTAGTATAGGAAATTTTAGCTTCTTTTTGCGGTGAAAGACGCATTGATTTGGAAATTCTTGCAAAAATCAAATAATTGTCGGATTTTAACGAGACTTTCAGAACTTATTCCCACACACACACACACACGCGCAAACGCAAATTGAATCCTTGTACATTGAACATTTTTGGCTTGCCAGTAAGGTCCAATAAAATAGAATTCTTGACACTTGGATTACTTAACACTTTGTTGTCATAAACTACTTACAGCTTTGTTGTTATTAGCTACACTCACAATTTTTGGCAGCAAAATGATCATTAATTTTTGACGCAAAAATTACTATGCCTGATCACTGCAGAATAAATAACCAATCAGATTGCATTTTAAACAGATAGCAATCTGAGCCCATTTTTTTTTTTTACATAAAACGGAAAGAATTATCCAATTCCAGTTAGATGCGAGACACATAGCATAGCTACACGCCTCTCCATGTCAGTTTAACTTTTGAAAATCTGAACCTGTAAAGTTACTCTAAATAAAAAGAAACTCCAGTTGCATTTTCAATTTCTTTTTCTTATATATATATATATATATATATATATATATAGTGGTACGCGTTTGGAAAAACCTTAGGTATTTCGGCTTGTAGTTGAACAAACCAGTAACCAAGGAAAAATGAGGGATAAAAAAAGAAAGAACTAAGAACAAGAAATTGAGGCGAAAACAATCGTCCAGAATTCAAGCCCAGAGTCCAAAGAAAGAAAACCCTCCAAAACGAGTAAAAATAACTACGTTTTTACCTCTTTAGTCAGTATAACCTGACGATCCGTGTAGGTGAAATCTAGGTAGGTTTACCTGGCTCTTTTAGGTTTTTTTATATATATATATATATATATATATATATATATATATATATATATATATTCGACTCTCCGTCGAATTCGACGTATGAGGGTCAAGCAGATCAGTTCCCAGCGATCAGTTCCCGACAGCCCGACAACAGCACATGAGATTTGATTATAATGGTGATGGTTTCGTGCAGGACCATCCACACTTTTTGAAGGGCCGATTACAGAGACCTGGTGCACTAAGTGTCACAAGGTTCCCAAACGACCCTCCGCAGGTTTTGAATTTGTCAAATTGAATGAGTTTTCCTTCTCCTAGACCAGTTGCCATCCAAGGCTATAGAACCCAGTCTGTCCTCCTATTTACCCTTAGCTGGAGGGAGAAGAAGAGGATTCACACCTTTCCCAAGGGTATTAGCACGTAAGTGAATGTAATGGATATATATATATATATATATATATATATATATATATATATATAAATATATATATATATTTATTTTGGGTGTAACAACAAAATTGTCCAAAGCGTGGAAAAGCAAAATTGTCCAATTGCTAGATTAAGCTCTGAACCATTGTATCTTAGAAATGATCTTACTAGAATTCTCCGAGGATTTTATAACACTATTTGACTCTTCTTTGAACAATAAGAATGTAAAATTATTCTCCAAGCTGATTATAAGATTATAAACGAGGATGACATGTTCATCATTAATTAATCATAGCTAAGGATCGGAAGCTCATTTCCAAATAATTTTCTTTGTCCCAAGCGTTTTGGGCCACTTTAGCCATTTTCAAGTGTGTCTTTTGTTGTTTGTGTGTGTGTTGTTTGTGTAGGAGCGTTTATTGCGAGCCTTCGCGTGTTGAGCGCGGCTGGAATTCGAGTGAGCATTTTCTTATTTAAAAAAAATGAACACTTCATTTCCACCTTAAAATAAGGTGAGGCTGATAGAAAGAGAGATATGTTTAATATACATGACCTCTTTAATAGTGAGATGTTTCCGGTAATGTAATTTATATAGAATTTTAATATTGTCGACCATAATTTTTCTTAAGGGTTCTTATAAATTGTGTGTTGTAAGTTTTTTTTATAGTACTTTAATCTGATAAATGACACGTGAGACATCTACTTAAGGCGGTGGTAGTATGCCCGACATACGCGCGCGCACACGCACACACACATACACACATTCATATATTACAAAAATTTAGATATGAATAAAATATATTTGTAAAACAACATAAAAAAAAAGAAAATTTTTCTTTACTAAAGTGTTTCGTCCGCTGAGAAATGGGGTCATGGTAAATTTTGAGATTTTATTTAGTAACTTGTATTTACACACAGAAATAGACTGGAGGAAAATAAAAATATCGTTTTTAAATTTTTAATTTGAGAACGCTTAAAAATATTCTTAAAGTCTGCTCTGTAAGAAAAGGTAAACTATGGCGCTATGTGATGTAATTAATTGCTTAATTAATTGCTTAATTAATTGCTTAATAAACGAAAGAGTAAATGTTGCTGCTGAATTTATATTTAATTATTATTCAAAATGTAATTATTTATTTCTATGAATTTTATCTATCTATCTATCTATCTATCTATTGCACTCTGTTAGTATCTATCTATCTATCTATCTATCTATCTATCTATCTATCTCACCCTGTTAGTATCTATCTATCTATCTATCTATCTATCTATCTATATCTATCTATCTATCTATCTATCTATCTCACTCTGTTAGTATCTATCTATCTATCTATCTATCTATCTATCTATCTAATTCGAATTATGCTATAGATAGCAGCACGAAATGAGAAAAAGGTAGGAATTTCATCTCTTGTTCCCACAGTTACGGATTAAATAGTTGGAAATCTGCCTAGAAAATCATTATTACCTCTAAAAAATGTCAATGTAATAATGACTAACAAAAAACCCCCAAAAAACAAAAAAAAACAAAACAAAAAAAACCCCCAAAACAAAAGAATTATTCTTACAATGTAAAATATATTCCTGATTTAAATAACTCACAAAGGGTTGGCAAACCGTAAAACACAAATCAGTCAATCAATAATTTTCCTCATCCTTTTTCTATGGGCGCCGCACTTTCTTTATATTTCATTACAAGCAAACACATATTATTAGAGCATTTGATGTCTATAGTAGATGAAGACAAATCAACATTTGAATCGCATTAGCCATCATTATTTATTCATTTCAGAACAGACTTTGCGGGTTGTACTGACAGTAGATAATGCCATCAATCGACTCGGTCAAAGTGATTTGGATATTCTATTATTCGGTGCTTGTCAGGCGTAGAAATAAATATCACGTGTAAAAATAAATCTTAGAATGACTTCATGACTGCGTCAAAGAAAAGAAAATCTTTCATCAGACACGTGATGGCAGAACTGAATTTCTTTCGTTAATCAAAGGTTTCCATAAACGAGTCGAAACAGCGCTATGGTCATCAAAGTGAAAAATAATATCAGCGACCCGTTTTCAAAATTCTGACTAGTCAGTTGCCTTCACTTTAGCAACAAAGGGCCATTGAGAAAAGACACGAATCCATCAAAGAAGGAGATTATGTTGAAAAATATTTGGGTTAAATAGATATATTTTAGTCACATTAAGATACAAACATATTGTCGTACATACGTATGTATGCATGAAAACGTGTATATAGATCCGGACATATGGTTATCAATACATATCATTTTTCAAACGTTTTTCATCTATCTCATTCTGTTTATATCTATCTATCTATCTATCTATCTATCTATCTATCTATCTCAGTTTGTACATTATCTATCTAGCTAGCTAGCTAGCTAGCTAGCGAGTTAGCTATACATAAAACTCAGGCTGTTCACATCTATCTATCTCAGTCTGTTCATATCTATCTATCTATCTATCTATCTATCTATCTATCTATCTATCTATCTATCTATCTCAGTCTGTTCATATCTATCTATCTATCTATCTATCTATCTATCTATCTGTCTGTCTGTCTCAGTTTGTACATTATCTATCTAGCTAGCGAGCTAGCTATACATAAAACTCAGGCTGTTCACATCTATCTATCTATCTATCTAGCTAGCTAGCTAGCTAGCTAGCTCTGTTTATACATTATCTATCTATCTATCTATCTATCTATCTATCTATCTCAGTTTGTACATTATCTATCTAGCTAGCGAGCTAGATATACATAAAACTATCTATCTATCTGAGTCTGTTCATATCTATCTATCTATCTATCTATCTATCTATCTATCTATCTGTCTCAGTTTGTACATTATCTATTTAGCTAGCTAGCTAGCGAGCTAGCTATACATAAAGCTCAGGCTGTTCACATCTATCTATCTATCTATCTATCTATCTATCTATCTATCTATCTATCTATCTATCTATCTATCTTAGTCTGTTTCTATTTATCTATTTATTATTATTCAAAATGTAATTATTTATTTCTATGAATTTTATCTATCTATCTATCTATCTACCTCAATCTGTCCATATCTATGTCAGTCTGTTTCTACCTATGTGTTCATAGATGATCGGATGAAAAGTACGATGCACTCTAAGAGTCGTGCCTGTAGAATGGATCGATAGAAATACAATCAAATGGTTTGCGGATATAATAGGTTTTGATCGGAGCTTGTTCGGATGAAATCGAGGCCGTACTGTAAGACTTTCTACTCGTCGAATGGATCGATGGAAATACAATGATATATTAAAACTATATAACAGGTTTTTGATCAAATCTTATGAAATTTAGCCTGCATTGTAAAGCCTTCTATTTGTCGAATGGCTCGATAAAAATACAATAATAAATATGTATAACATTATGATGAGATGCTGATCAGCTGCACTGGTTTACAAAGAAATTTAAATCCACCAAAATTAGGTATTCTAACCTAATTTGTGGGTGCTGATTTCAGATATGAAATCCGTTTTCGCTACTCACCTCTAATTTTTTTAGAAATGCAGGGTGTCCATAAAGTCTCTTTACAATTTAAAAAATATATTACAAAGACAATTTATGAGATACTTTAATCAGATAGATAGATAGATAGATAGATAGATAGATAGATAGATACTTAGGAGTTATCAACTTTTTAATCAAATTGCATTTATGTATTTCAGGTATCCTGTTGATGAAAGAGGTACTCTTAATAGGCTGACATAGATAGATAGATAGATAGATAGATAGATAGATAGATAGATAGATATGAACATACTGATAGATATATAAATAGACAGACAGACAGATAGATAGATAGATATGAACAAACTGATAGATAGATAGATAGATAGATATGAACAAACTGATATAGATAAACCGATAGATATTAACAAACTGATAGATAGATAGATAGATAGATAGATAGATAGATAGATATGAACAGACTGATAGATAGATAGATAGTGTTGAAACTTGACTAATGCATGGAATAATAATGCAACACAAAATGTACTTAGAACAAAATGTATTGAAACAAGAAAGTGTACACAATATTTACATATAGTCTTTTGTATATTCCTGGTAAGACCGTTCCTGGAGAATGTGCTGACTGAGTCGCAGTCGGGCAGAGTCTCTGGTTGAATCTCTTGATTCCTCCCACTCTTCCCGGTACCAACCATATTTATATGGTCGGTACTCCACTATGCAAATTAGGTGGATCCTACCACAACAGATAGATAGATAGATAGATAGATAGATAGATAGATAGATAGATAGATAGATAGATAGAAAACCATTTGGAAGATGTTGGATTGAAAATCATAAGAAATACAGGGTGTTCATAAAGTCTCTTTACAATTTAAAAAATTATTACAAAAGCAACTGAACAGACAACTATTTAGAAATTGTTACAAAATGTGCCGTAGATATTGAAGTTTTTTTAGCTAATTTAATCCACCTCTTTATGGGCGCCATTTGTTGCAAGAAGCACATCAAGATGGTGCTCGATTTCTTGCCATATTCGTTGTAGCACAACCTCATCAATGGTTGCAATGGCATCAGTGATCTTTTGCTTTAGATCAGCGATGTACCGTATCTTTGTTCGATAAACGATATCTTTAACATAAACCTATAGAAAGAAGTCCAGGGGAGTGATATCTGATGAATGAGGTGGCCAGGGAAGTGGGCAATTAAGTAGCCTTCTCTCTCTATACCTCTGAGATCCAGTGACTAGACCCAAAGAGATGCGAGTTCAATACCAGGCCACAGCAGTGGTGAATCAAAACATGGAGAGTAGAGTTAAAGGGAAATAACTGAGACATCCAGAAGAGGAATGGCACGTGGAACTATAACAATATACCCCAGTAGACGAAATTAAGGGTTCGGTTCGAAACTCGAATCACCTGAAGAAGGCGAGTGCGTACAACGGCCGAAACATTGTGAATATGGCAGTGAAGATGAGGATAACAGTCCGAATAATGCAAATAATGCAAGTAACCATAATACCTCATCTCAGAGATATAGAGGCCGAAACGTTGTGAATATGGCAATCAAGATGAGGATAACAGTCCGAATAATGTAAATAATGCAAGCAGCCTCCTCTGTAGAAAATAATTCTTTCCCACTCTACAACCTCTTTCCCATGCACGAAAAGTTGCAAGCCTCTCGCTACACTAACGCTATTTCTATAGCACATGTTCAGACGAGGTACATGCCTTAGTTCTATCGGTTCAGACTTAGAACTCCCCATGTCGCGTACACAGAGTCCGCTTATCCTCATTCCCTTTGTACTCATAAGGAGGAAGTTCCACTGAGACAGTTACTTTCCCAGAACTGTTACGTTATGGAACATACTCCCGAGAAAATGCTTCCTCGATCTTAACTTCTTCAAAATCAGAGTTAATCGTTATTCTATACATCTTCATAATAAGAGCTGCCTACTTCCTCTTTGTACTCTCTTACAACGACTACATCGAGTAACCCTCTACTTTAAGTAGTTTTTAGGCCTTCGACTGGGCGAAAAATTGTATAATTCATATTATACAATTTTTATGTACAATTAATTGTCTCTTTGAGGAAGGGGGATAAAACAACAATTTAAACATTTAAAAACTAGCCCCAATGAGTATTTACAATATGAAATAAACTATTTACAAAAAACTAAACAAAATCATGTTAGTAATAAAACCCCCCACAATCACTAAATGTGGCAGAAACATCAGTTAACTGGGCGAAATTAATGCTGGACTATAATAATATAAAACATTAATTCATCCCAATAACTCACACACACACACGCGCGCTCATTCAGACACAACGACAAATACAAAAACACACACATGAAAGCGAAAGACGCCCCGCATCTACCAGAGAACTGGCATCACTGACTACCTAACGAGGGAGGGGATGGGGAATTAAACTTAAAGAACAAAAGGGACAGAATTAAAAGGGGCCAAAGAGCATACATACCCTAGCTAAGTTTTATCGAAAAAGGAAACTAAAAATTCAAAAGACCAAACCTAAGCTAACCTAATTTTGGGATGAGTTGACTGAAAAACGTTCATGAGCAGATGTTCTACTTATAGCGGTTGGGCGAGTCCATGTTTCAGTAATAGAGGTAGGGAAGGTTAGTCAGTCTTTCTACACAGCAAAATAGAATATTTTTTATTTTAAAATATTACATTTCGTGTGACACAAGGAGAAGAGGAAGACGAAGAGGAGGCTTTCTCTTCCTCTCTTGTCGAACTCTCTGCCTCCAGACGGAGAGGAACCCAGACGAGACTATGCTGAAGGGCAGAATCTCGTTTGTGGGAGCAGACAAACGCGACCCCATGTATACGGGGTCTACGAGAGAGAGAGAGAGAGAGAGAGAGAGAGAAAGAGAGAGAGAGAGAGAGAGAGAGAGAGAGATCGGTACTCGCGGCCCCCGCAACTGACGAGCAATTTTTTGTTCCTAGCCCGGGTGTACGCGCTCGGGCTCCCAACCTTAAAAACTAACCTTGCGTCTCAACTCGTCTTAGTGAGGAGACATAGTAAATACCTAGATCCTGATGAGAATAACGTTCGTATCGTAAGATTCCTTCCATCCGCGTCGTCCTCACCACCATCGTTGCCACGACTAGCAATGTCAGAAACACCACCCGTCTCATTCTAGAACACGGGGGCGGCACATTATCGCACGCGTAGGCGAGATGAATGGACACAAGATGTTCGTGATCGATAGGAGCCATCAACTCGCCAACATGATCCCAAAACAGGCGCACCAGAGGACAGTTGTTGAATATATAATAAGTTTTGATTAAATGTTGATCAAATGGTAATTAGGCTGCACTGTCAGAATTGAGACAATACAATGGTAAGATTAACCGTTTGCATACTGAACATATTTCTATTTATTAATAAAGCTAAAGAGCAAAAGGGTCAGTTTAATAGGCCCCATGAGTTATGTAAACGAGTCTTGGTGGGAAAATGTCCAGTCTTCTGTGGTCTTCTATGTTGTAAGAGCGTGACAGGAGCCACACCTCTCTTTAGTGCAATGTGGAGGTTCTACTCTACAGTTAGGATCTCAAGACTCTGAAGTCGATTTGTTCATGCCAACTCTCACTCGAAGACAAAATGAGGTATATTTTTGATGCCATCGCTCTACGGGTGGTGCCGGTACCACGTAGCGCACTATTGCCATATGATCGGGTCAGCGGCCACTAAAACGTTTTCTCCACTAAACTGAAGTCAATGGCTAGGGAGGAAGGGCTTCCCAGATTGAAGTCAAAGGCCAGAACGTAAGGCTTTCCCAGATAGAAGTCTACGGCTAGGGCGGAAGACATTCACAGACTGAAATCAACGACCAGGGCGGAGGGCATCCAAGACTGAAGTCAATGGCCATGGCGGAAGAGATTCCCGGACTGAAATTAACGGTCAGGGCGGAGGACTTCCCAGGCTGAAGACAAAGGCCAGGGCGGAAGTATTTAAGTCTTTTCCAGACTGAAGTCAACGGCTATGGTGGTAGGATTTCCCAGAATGAAATCAACAGTCAGGGCGTAGGGCTTCCCAGACTGAAATCAAAGGCCAGGGAGGAAGAGATTCCTAGACTGAAATCAATGGTCAAGGCGAAGGGTTTCCCAGGCTGAGTCAAAAGCCAGAGTAGAGGGCTTCCCAGAATGAAATCAACAGTCAGGGCGTAGGGCTTCCCAGACTGAAGTCAAAGGCCAGGGTGGAAGGGCTTCCCAGAATGAAATCAACAGTCAGGGCGTAGGGCTTCCCAGACTGAAGTCAAAGGCCATGGTAGAAGGGCTTCCCAGAATGAAATCAACAGTCAAGGCGAAGGGCTTCCTAGACTGATGTCAAAGGCCAGGATGGAAGGGCTTCCCAGAATGAAATCAACAGTCAGGGCGTAGGGCTTCCCAGACTGAAGTCAAAGGCCATGGTAGAAGGGCTTCCCAGAATGAAATCAACAGTCAAGGCGAAGGGCTTCCTAGACTGATGTCAAAGGTCAGGGTGGAAGGGCTTCCCAGAATGAAATCAACAGTCAGGGCGTAGGGCTTCCCAGACTGAAGTCAAAGGCCCGGGTGGAAGGGCTTCCCAGAATGAAATGAACATACAGGGCGGAGGGTCTCCAAGAATGAAATCAACACCCAGGGCGGATGGTCCCCGATGAAAGCAAATTTTACGTGTTCATGACCAAGGCGACGTTTCAAGCGCGAGTACATCGGCTTAAGGGTGACATGGAGATGGAGGGTATTCGCCACGTCATTTCGACGAGACCCGCTATGCTTCAGCCTAGATATATGGAGGGAATTGGTCAGGTTCTCAAATACGCAGCAATCCTACAACTGTATATGGGAATGATGGTATAATGCTGCTTTTCCTTCGTTTATTTGCTTCATGATAAATAAAAAATTCAATCAGTTATTTAAAGCTCATTTCAAAACGTATTTTTACCTCACCTTCACTATTAAGAATCGGTAATGGTGTTGCTCTCAACAATATGGCGATTCCTGATTTTGTGACGTCATTGCTGACATGGGAACGGCGTTTGTGCTGTTGAATTCTTAGAAAACAATTCTTCGTGTCACTAAGTGAATTGCGTTGAGAGAGAGAGAGAGAGAGAGAGAGAGAGAGAGAGAGATATGGAAGGGGAACAAAAAAGAAAGAAAGAAGGGGAGATTTATGCTTATTTGTGGAACAGTAGGTGAAAAAAAAAAAGATAAAGAGAATGGGAGAAGAGAGAAGGTGGATGGAAATGAGAGATGCCAATAAATAATCTTTTACCGAGTGAACAATAACAGAGTGGGGGGGGGAGAGGGAAAGAGAAAGGTTTTAGAGGAATTGAGAAAATGGGAAATAGAGACGGAATTAGAGAATTTCTTTTATTGAAAGGTGAATGAGAATAATGGGCGAGTGTACAAACATAGAAAGAAAGAGAAAAGGCAAAACGAAAGAAGCGAAAGAGAGAGAAAGGGGCTGATGGAAAGAGAGAGAGAGAGAGAGAGAGAGAAAGAACAAAACGAAAGAAGCGAAAGAGAGAGAGAAAAAAGGTGGAGTGATGGAGAGAGAGAGAGAGAGAGAGAAAATAAGTGAAAAAAGAAGAGAAAGAGAGAGAGAGAGAGAGAGAAGTAAATAATTTCTTTTAATGAGAGAAAAATAAGAGAAAATAAGTGCGTGCGTTACAGAGAGTGGGGGAAAGAGAGAGAGAGAGCGCGAGTGTAATCGAATGAAGAAAGATAGAAAGAGAGAAAGAATAAGTGTAAAAAGCGGATAAAGATAGATAGATAGATAGATAAAGAGAGAGATAGAAATAAAGAGAGACAGACAGAGACGAATAAGAGAAAATATTAGTGTGCATGTGTGATAGAGAGAGAGAGAGAGATAGAGAGAGAGAGAAAGGGGAGGGAGAGAGAAAGGGGAGGGGAAAAGGAATGAATGAAAAAAGAGTAATCGACAAAAAAAAACAAGTGAAAGCGAACATATTTCAGTGAGAGAGAGAGAATAGAAAGTGACAGAGAGAGAAAAGAAAGAAGAAAGATATTGATTCGTTTTTACAGCTTATCAACCCTTTGCCGGTTATTTAAAGCCAGAAAATATTTCTAGATTTTAAGAATTTTTTGAAGATAATAATGGTTTTAGTGATACAAATCTTACTAATTAACCCATAGCTGGGGTATATATGGATTCATATCATTCCCAAGGTTATTCGCCTGTAAATGAATATAACGAACCCGACTGGAATTGGAACTCGGTTCTCCGATTAACAATTCCCAGCCATTATCCATTACACCACTTGCACATCCAAGCTTACAGCAACTAGTAATTCCAAACGGTCACCCATCTAGATACTGACCAGTTGCTTAACTTCGATGATCAAAAAAAAAAAAAAAAAAAAAGGAAGGACGAGGAAGTGCAAAGATAGAGAAAGAGAGTAAAGAATCTCTTTTATTGACAAAAGAATAAGAGAAAGAAAGAGAAAGAGATAGGGTAGAGATAGTGTGAGGAGAGAAAGAGACGAGGTAGGGAAAGAGTAAGAGGGAAAAAAACGGAGAGAAAAAAAAAGATAGAAATAAAGAATCTTTTACTGGGGGGAGGAAGAGAGTGAGATAGATAGATAGATAGATAGATAGATAGATAGATAGATAGATAGAGAACGAGTAAGTGATTGAGTGAGAGAGTGAGAGAGAAAGAGAGAGAGAGAGATTTTCCAGAAATAGAATCTATACAGCAGAAACATTTTTTGAAAAAAAGTAATTTCCATGTGGATAACAGAAAAACAGAATGTGTGGGCGGCGAGACAGTTATCGCTACGGAAAAATGGAATCGGTAACATGAATTCAAATTCCGGCCAAGGCTGTTGTGTTCATCTTGGCATTACTGTCTTTAATAAAGCCAGCCTCCATTCTTCCTCATTCCAACTATGGTACAAATGAAAGAACAGAAAAAAAAAGACTTTCTTTTTTTGAGATAAGAATAAAACACTTTGTCTGAATTTCTAGGATGAGCAGTTTTCATCAGCATTGGTTTGTGAATTTGGTGGCTATGGTTTTGAGTTCAATCTCTGCAACGGGCAGTAAGTATATGCACTCAGCGAAAACAGGGTGGTAATAATTGAACAGCACTATATAAAATATAAGAACTAAACGATATCCCTAAACATGAGCAATGAAACGAGAACAGTCTAGTCCCGTAGATTAAATAAAGGGTTCAGTTAAGAATTTTCTATAAGTTATACAGATTGATAAACACCTGATGAAGGCCAGAGAGAACAATAATCGAAATGCTGTGATAACAACAAGAAAGATGAGGATCATAGAGCAAATGCAAATAGTGTAGATAATGATAACTCCTAATAGCAGAAATTCAAGCATTAATTACTCTAGATTTAAAGTTGACCAAATCATAGATAAGTAAATTAAAGTAGAAACTTTAAAATCTTATGTAAACCTACTGGATTAAAATATTGGTTTACTAATTAATTAATTACTCTAGATTACTCTATGTATTTTACATTAATAACTCTAGATTTAAATTTGTTTGTAGTAATGATTTGATTTTTTTGGATTTTTTTTATTGGCCATAAAACATTACAAACAAAAAAAAAAAAACAACGCCAAAAACATCGCTGTTTTGGCCTGAATCTTTCAGTCATATCAAAAACCTTTCTCTAATTTTTTAAGATTTAAAATAGAAATGTTCGAAAGACAGTTATAAGATAAAATATCTGCTGGGATGATGATGATAATGTCAAACATGAATAATTTAAAGACAGTTATTGTGAGTGCAATCTCTAGGTGGGGCTAAAAAGAATACCCGCTCGGCCCGGTGGCTAAGATCAAAGTGTAGTATCTGCGCTTTGTGAGCTGCCGGGTCGGGTGTCTGTCGAACTCTCTGCTTGCAGAGAGGAACCCGGACGAAGCTCCGCCGAAGGGTAGGGTTTCGTTGGGGGAGGTTGACGGATCTGGCCCGCCTCGGCGGGTTTGGATGGTTATTTATTTTTGCCTGGGCCTACGGGCTCAAAGATACCCACATTAAAAAAGGCCTGGTGCCACATTCGATCCCCGTGGATGGATTGATAAATACCATCTCTAGGTGGGGCTTAGACTCTGTGGAAACAGGGAGAGCAATAACTAAGCAGTACTAAAAATAAGGACTAGACAAAATATCCTTAGATCAGGGGTTTTCAAACATTTTGACTTGCGGGCCCCTTTATATCTCAGGCTTTACCTTAGGGACCCCCTTATAAACGCTTATGAAATTTATACATAAATATTTGCTGAATATAACATAATTTTGCATTAATGCAATAAAAGCTGGCTTAAAGCTTATTTTAGACATAAGTGTTCAAATAAATTAATGCTGCATGTTGCTGCAAAATGTAACAAAATTAAATTTTCTTATATTAAAATATTAATTTTACATCTAAATGAAAACAGTAATAGTATTTAACAAATAGTTTTATTGTCAATTACACACACAGGATTTTTTAATACACACTTAGTGAGAAGGATGTGCTTGCTTGGCTTTGTACAAACTGTCGATTCTTGGCGATATTACTGATAAATATACACGTAAGTCACTTTCTGCAACAAGTCTGGATCTGTATTTGTTTTTCAGATTATCTTCTCCTTGCGGACCCCCTGTGGTCCGCAGACCACAGTTTGAAAACCCCTGCCTTAGACACACAGGCAGTGGAACGAGAACAGTCTACCACCATAGATTAAATAAAGGGTAAAGTTCAGAATTCTCTATAAGTTACCCAGATTGATAAACATCTGATGAAGGCCAGAGGGCAAAATGGTCGAAATGTTGTGATAACAACAAAGGCTAAGACAATAGTGCAAATACTGATAACTCCTAATCCTAGAAATTTAGGCATTAATTACGCTAGTTTTAAATTTGACAGAGACGTAAATTAAAGGAGAAACTTTAAAATCTTACGGGACCTATTAGATTAAAACATTGGTTCATGAATTTAATAACGTGTTCAATCTCTGGGCTGGGCGGTGTGTACTTAAACTCGGTGGATATGGTGAGTAATAACTGAGTAGTTCTTAAAATAAGAACTTGATAAGATATCTCTAGACATGAGTAGTGGAACGAGAACAGTCAACACCTGTAGATTAAATAAAGTGTTTAATTCAGGTCAATGTACACCTGATGAAGGCCACAACTGCAGAAACGTTATGATACCAACAACAAAGATGAGGAAAATAGTCCGAATATAAACAGTGTAAATAATGATAAATCCACATCCGAGAAATTCATTCCTTGTATCTTACCCAACTCGATATACACCTGATGAAGGCCTGAGGACATAACGACCGAAACGTTATGATAACAATAACAAAGATAAGGAAAATAGTCCGAATTTCAATAGTGTAAATAATGATAAATCCACATCCCAGAAATTCATTCCTTGTATGCTATCCAGTTCGATATACACCTGATGAAGGCCTGAGGACATAACGGACGAAACTTTATGATAACACCAACAAAGATGAGGAAAATAGTCCGAATATAAATAGTGTAAGTAAATATAAGACACTCTGTGAAAGAAAACGTATTTAGAAAAAAAACTAACCATGTTTGAGAGAGATTCCTGTTTAAGTATAAATAAATAAAAAAAGTCAATGGGCAGTGACACATCTGAATCTTAACATACACGCAGACGCGCGCACGTGTACACATACACACACACGCACGCGCGCACACACACACACATACACACTGGACTTGATTTGTATGTTGCTTATAATTTACAGTGTATTCTATTTATATAAAGTTATTATGATAAATATTAAGATATTCATTTAAAATACAATACTAACACCAAGAAAATCCAATCAATGGTTGAATATACAGGGCGTCCCTAAAGATGTTATTTGTTAATATTTCAAATGAATAAAATATACGTCCTGGGTATGACGATAAACTACATCCTGCAGCAAGATCCTCCGATCTGGAGGTATTGAGCAGCGTGGAACCACCTCTTAATTGCTGTTTTTCCCAGCTCCACCCTGACCCGGATTGGTAGCACCTGTTAGGGCGTCCTGGGTATGAAGATAAAATACATCCTACAGCAAGCCCTCTAATCAGAAAGTTTTAAGGAGCGTGGAACCACTTCTTAATTTATGTTGTTCCTAGGTCCACTCTGACTTGGGGTAGTAGCAACTGTTAGGGTTCCCGCTATGGGCAAATGGTTACCCCCCCAAAAAAAACTCTATAAAGGTGTAAAAATAAGTTTTTATAGAAAAATACCTGCAATACATTTTTGAAGAAGTTGCCCGCGGTGCATTTTGTGGAAGGGAATTTACCAGCAGTGCATTTTGAAAGGGGGGAATATTACCAGCGATCTGAATCTAGTTGGCATTAAATAATCCATTGAGGTTGATGTGCCATAAACCAAACCATATATATATATATATATATATATATATATATATATATAAGCAATGAATCAGCCATAGACACAGAAATACGCCTATGTATCAATATACTCTGACGTGACAAAAGTCCTTGTTTGGTAGTATGTAAAGGAAATATAACTCCACCATGTTTTGACGTCATGGAAATGCACAGAACTACAGCCTGTCTGAAGTTATTATGCAAATCAAATAAACTTCTATAACTCAAACGTTTTCCGAACCCATATTTGTCAAATTTAAACTCGTCCATTTAATATTTAATTAAATTTTCTGTCGTTCTTAATGGTTAGTTCTTGGATATTTTGAATTTCCGAAAATAGACTCACTGAAGTTATGCAGATTAAGCTAGAATTAGCCCAAGACCTCTGAAATCTAATAAGACTATTTTTTGCCCATAATATATATTGAAACATGGGTTAAGGAAACAACTGTTGAAGAACAGAAAATAACAAAATCATTGAGTGATGGAATGTCCACATTGGAAATATCGAAGAAGCTTTGTAAAGACCATCAAACGATAAAGAAGGCTGTTGAAAATATAAGTAAGTTAGAACTCGAAGCAAAGGAAAAGGCTTTAAGAACTTGCTTCAACCACTTTTGACCAGCACTCAGATCTTTGAAAAGGCTGGAATTTAGGGAGTCAAGACGGACAAAAGGTGTAGAATATTATGTGAATTGGGATCTGTAAAAAAAACTTTCTTAGACAACCTCCTCTCACTAAAGCAAATATGTTAAAGCGTCAAAATTGAACCAAGAAATCCCTGAAAATTAACTTTTCTGAAGTAATTTTCACGGACGAATGTCGAGTGACATTTGATGGACCTGAAGGGTGGGCCAACGGATGGATTTTATCCAATTCAAACGTGCCTGTGGCTAAAAGAATGCAGAAAGGAGGCGGTGTTATTATCATATGGGCTGGAATTGTTCACCAAACTATTATTGGACCAATCAAAATCGATGAAGAAGTTAAACTGAACAATGCTAACTATTGCGATTTTATGAACAAGACGTTCTTTGGATGGTACAAGTCCCAATCTCGCAGATTCAAAGTGAAATGTGTATTTATGCACGACAATGCTGCTTCTCGTGTATCTAAGCTTACCCGAGCATTGTTTGAGCATAAAAGATTTACAGGAGAGAATATAATGGAATGGATACCATCAAGTCCTGATCTGAATCCGTTCGAAAATCTATGGACAATTATGAAAATGTAATTATATAAAGGTGGCAAACAATATAACAACAAAGCAGATCTATGGGAAGCAATTAAAACTACTACGTCGGAAATTGAACCTGCTGAAGTAAAAAAATAACAAAATCAATGGCTAATAGATTACTGGTTGTTATTGAGAAAAAAGGTCACTATATTAAAATGTAAAGGATCCAAAGACTTATCATATGCGTTTGTTATTTGTTCTGTTATAAGTGTTGATCAATTTTTGATGATTTTATTACTTTTTTGAATTAAAATGTAATTATTTGGTTTTGCCTAATAAATTCATACGGCAGTTTTTTTTTTTTTTAAATACATTATGTTGTAACTGAGTTATTACCTTTTGGTACAGGGAAACATAATATATAATAGGAACTAGGAAAGAGAATGTTTAGTCGTAAATGACTGTTTTCAGCAAAAGCTACTGCTGCTACTCCTCTTGATGTAGGAATATTTTTATGTCTTTCGCCCGACGGCCGAGTCCAAACTTGTAGGAAAATATTCTCCCTCACAACATATCCGATAACTAAAATTTTAACTTAGGCTTTGTTTAATTGTTTAAAATTTGACACTTTTTTTCAAACCAAATGTGAATTATTGAAGTTTATATGAATTGCTTAATAACTTCAGGCAGGGTGTATATTATTTCGTGGGTCAGTTTGTTAATGACCAATACCATTTGAATTCTCGGAGTTCAAACGAGGAGCCTGGGGACATGGCAGGTGGAACATTCCATTTCTGAAATGGCCTATCCTTTGCAGCTTTATGCAATATTTATTCTCCTAATATCCCTAACACGCTATGCTCTACCATCACTTCACCCAAGCTCGTTGGGCAGGCTGCTTACTCGATATTTCCCGTTGTCTCTCGCAAACAAAACAAACTATTATTGTTGCAACGTCCGCGTAACCATTCTAAAACAAAAATTACCATCTTTGTTATATAATTTATTATTTAATTTATTGTAATGTACTTGTAATCTCTGATGATGGCCTATGTAAGTCGAAAGCTTAGACAGGATTAACAATAAAAACATGTATCAACATAGTGATTTTCTTTCGTATTTCAGTGATAATGCTAAAGAGCTTATTCGACAATATGAAAGGAATTTACTTAAAATAAATAGACAAAACTTGTCTATATTATTTAACGAAACATTCATTAATATATATATATATAATTTTCTTAAAATCTTTTCATTGCTCAAATAGTATTCTCATCATCCTTCTGTAGAACGAATTCTATGCTACTTCAAGTATCCTCTTAATCTGTGAGGTTATTTTCCAGTATTCACTATCATACCAAATGATTTATGTTACATAGCAGTTCAGCACTCTTTTCTTTATTTCTAACGAACTTTTCCTGATGCTTATTACTTTGCTTAGCTTTTAGAATGGTTTGCTTCATCGAAAAGTAGATAACTAAATGAAAGTAACTTTTATATTTAGAGCTTTTTAAAATTATGTCTCAATTAAAATATAGACCGGTGAATTAGCCTTTTTTATTTTCAAAAATATTTCAGAAGACAGTGATAGAGAAAAAGACACAAAGAAAAATAAAAACACAAGTTTCTGATGGCAATCTTCTTGCATAATACAAGCCGAGTTTGATTCCGGAGATTCATACTTGGAGACAATACCTCCCCGTTGCACATAGCA